GTTCATCCATCGCAACAAACCGCTCTATAAACCAGTTTAGCCCGGGCTTTGCCTTTCAAGGTTATCTCGTTCCCCTCATGCCTTCCATTTTCTTGAAAATGCAAAGGAATACAGCTTTTACCATCATTATGAAGAGTTAGACACTTTCTTGATGCATGCGTTTGTACCCAAAAACTCTTTCCCTACAGCTGATGGGTCATTGCATTGAAAAATTAATAAATTAGTGAATAAGTAAGATAGTCGAATGTCGTCTAATCGTGAAGAACTTCCCAAGTTATCGGATTGAGCTTCGAGCGCAACATTCATTTTTCGTGCCCTCGATATTAACTTAATATTCTTTGAGCATCGGGAAGGTAAGGTGGGGTGGAGAAGTAGAGATGATTGTAGAATGTGCCGTGCCGTAATAAATGAGTGGCAGGGGCTGCATGTCTGTAGTGTTGAAAAGCCGCAAAAATGAAAAAAAGAAGTCAAAATGAACAGCGTTGGCAATTATGCTCCCAACTGTGAGCCGAATGCGCGGATTACTCCAGAAAATTATTGAGCATCGCCCTCTGTTCAAGGCAGTGTGTTCGCAGTCCCATGTGAAGACAAGGGCAGGTGAGGAACGGCAATACAGGGGACAAAGGGCTGGAAACTTCTGAAAGCAAAAACAACAAAACAGAAGCGGACTAGTTTCGGATCTCGGCCGACAGAATCAGGCTGAGCCTCAGACATGATCGACCGCAGAATACGACTAGAGGTCGTAAGGGGTGCAACCTCAAGCCTCCAGTACTGGCTTCACGTGAGCGGAGAATAACATAATATTCCAACTTAGATGGAAGTCCCACCCGGACATAACTGCCAGAGCAGGGTCCCTTTCTATCACACCGTTTGCGTTGGTGCGGCTGAGTTCCTGAGTAGGGAAGTAGCGCCCTATACTTTCGCTCTCCTATAGTTGAGAAAGGTTTAGGTTGTTTTCCCGACAACAAGTGCTTGTTCTTGTTGGTAGAATGTTTCTGAAGCATAAGGAAGCAAATGGAGCATAATTACCCGTTCAAAAAATGAATCGGTATTTTCATTGAAAATTTGACCGTACCTGTTTTTGAAGGCAATATTGAATGGAACCATAAACGCAGTGTAGAACGTCAACGCCAGAATTGACCAATCCCAGATCGTTTTGAACGTCGAATAGTGCAGAATAATATGTGGCGATGTTTTCGGTGTCTCTTGCCGATACTGTGGCAGCATGTCACCGCCGAGGTTCATCACCTAAACTCCGACTCACTGATTCATCAGCATTCATCAGGCTATTGGCCCCTGTCAATGTAGGCTGTCTATCGAATCGCCGACTGCAGCAGCAGATCAATTCGCTTCGATATGGCAGCTGAGTTTTGATAGTAGTACAATAGAGAAAGTGGTGGATGGGGCTTAGAGAGCCATGTGCCAATTCTACAGTACCGCTGTGCTGAGAAAGGTGCATCAGTAGGCAGAATAGTTGTGAATAGTAGTTGAAAAGTGCTTGACATTCATCGTTCTCTAATAGGAAATTAAACGATTAGCTCTGTTTCCGGATTTCACCGTCAATGACTCGTTGGAACTTTCCAACGAGATTTCTATTTGTTTTTCCTATTTGGATGGTAGAAGGGAAAATGGAGGGAGATGAGCAAAATTTGAATGTGGTGCTGTACACATATACCTCCCCTTTTGCTTTCAGTCCCAATTTTGGGAGCGACGAGCCTGGTAGTGTGAAAATACCATCGAAGGCAATATGAAAATTCCCCAAAAGGACAACGTTGCAAAAATTCACGTTTCGACGCCATCTATGGCCCATGAAAAACTTTTTTCGGCAAGTGGGTAGGGGGGTCATAAATCAAGCACAGAGCTAATGAAAAAATCTTGCTCCAGCAATGGTTTTCCGTTAATCAGTAGGCTGTCCGATGAGTAGGTGTTCAAATTTTTTTATCTGAATAAAAATCCCGTCGAAAATCTGCTGCGACTCACAATAAGAGAAGTTTCTGCTCTACAAGGAGGTTTTATACTCGTTGGGAACTGAATGAATGATATCCAGGCTTGCAAAGTGGTAGTTCCAAAAGACAAGAGGTAGCTCAACCATAAGTAACTCGAACTTTGTGCTCATTCAAAAGAAATCAATCAGTAATGTATTCTTTGCTTTTTAGTTGCAATTACCATGCAAGCTTCAGGCTTCAATAATGCCCCCTCCCCACCCTGAATGAAGAAAATAACGAAATTACTCCAAGATGAATACGAAAGCGTAGTTGCTGAGCTTCCAAACGGGATTAACAGTAACTTTCATTAGGTCAACGTTTCGGTGCTTTCACGTTCTCCAAAGCCTTAGAAGGCTTTCGATTTTCAAGGCTCTGAAGGAGGTGAAAGCACCGAAACGTGGGCAACCACGCTCTCATACTCTGAAGACTACGCCAAGATTTATACGAAGTCGAACTTGGACACTACTTCAAAATGATTTCCTCATTAGGAACACCGAGAAACTCGTCATTGATGTGCCCTGTACTTGGTTATGACTTATTCTAAACGTTCCAAAAGTTTTCATATGCCTCGGCAATGAAAACTTCCGGGTCCAGATTCGACGAGATAGCTCCACCATCGGGGTTTCCTGCTTGCGAGAAACGAAAATTATAATGAAACGGTCCGACTTTCTCGAAGCATTCAAGAGTGGAATGTTGAGAAGAGCTTGTCGCTAACCATAAGCAAGGGATACATTACTGATTGAGTGCTTCCGAGGAACTTAAAGTTCGACTTAGTTGCCGGTTCGGCTATTTCTCATCTTCTGGTCCTCCCAATCTGCGTCTGCAAACGGTTCACAATCTGTATGAAAAAGACACGATGCGTTTCTTAAACCGGACAGTACTCTTTCGAACTGCATGTAACACTGCGTGGAAACGCGGAATGTTTGAGGAGAAATTTTGATTCAGATAAAAAACAACACCACTTATCGGGCAACCCAAAACGTACCCTCCCATTCAAAAAGCGAGAAAGTGTCGGGTGCAGACCAAACACCACAAGTGACGACGGCCTCCAAGTAAATCTGGTTAGTAGTGGTTCATAGTGATAGCTGATTTTTGGTAAATGATAGTTGTAATTAGACAACTGATAGAATACAACTGCAACAGGCTAATCATTTCATTGGCAGAAAACATTTACATTTTGTGAAGGCCGTCGTCACTTGTGGTGTATGGTCTGCACCCGACACTTTCTCGCTTTTTGGAAGGGAGTTCATATTAACAGTCGGGGAAAAACGAATAGGGAACGTGATCCCCTTATTGACGTTATCGCAGAAAACTCGCCCCATGGCTAAACGAAGTATACGCGGCGCGTGCCGTGCAAATGTGTATCGCATATCCCTAACCACGTTTGCAGTATACTGTACATAACTTTATGGAATAATGAATGGAGAGCAAATATTGAAATGTGCCGAATCAAGGAGCGTTAGTGGCGCTGTCCATGGCAGATCTCGGATTCATGCTAGAGCATTTTTTTCTTGGGAGCTATTTCACCCAGCGGTTACTCGGCAAATTGCCACGGAAACGATGTGACGCGTCCACTTTTCGTCGTTGACATGCACTCTACTCCCAAAATTGCGCTACTCAATAGGCCCCTGCTCAAGAGCTCGTTGATTACGGTCAAATCCTCATCTTAAAATTGTCCCAAAATCGTAGAAATGACCAGACTTCTTCAAGAAAAGTGCATAGTGCCAGTTGTGAGTCAAATTGGATCCATTCTATAATATTGTGTGACCTTTAAATGTGCTTAAGGAAGTATCTCCGACCTAATGCCCCAGAGATGGTGAGTGTGACAATTGAAAGGTGATGATTCCACAATCGCCAACGAGTGCTTCTAACGCTCGAGTAAAAAACGGAGGAAAATAGACCATCAGCAGGATAAATAAAACGGAACCGCCGGACCACCCAAAAATAAGAGCCCCTTTTTCGAGCAGTGGGCTAGTTTGCAAAGAGGCCACTGGACGCTGGGACATCAGAGGTTAGGGCCTATGTCGATCACCACTCATGAACTCGCTTTCAAATCCTCAACTGAGCGAACATCCTTACTGAATCACGTTGGCGAACCGCTCAAATTTCTTCGAAAGACTCCATTTTCAAGGAAATTAATAGCAGGTGTGGATATCAGAATGTTCTGTACGCCTTTTCTCATCGATGCTCCACGTTTTCTTCAACATATTTTCTTTTCGCGATAACGGTGCAGTAAGTAGTTCATGCACTTTCATGGCATTCAATGAGGGGGTGCTGCACGTGTTGTGACACAATTTTGTAGTCACGTACCACACTTGAAGGCGGGGTTTACGATTATAAGCAACCTTTTAAAATTGTGATAAAGGTGGTCAGTAGCGTCGGAATGAAGAAAAAACAATGGGAGGTGGCCAAGAATCCGAAAAATGGAACCGCTTCCTTGCGTTTTGACTGCGGCACTGATGCGACTCTCATACTTGTTACCCAATCACACTACGCCATTACTATGTTTCCTTCAGGTGAGGTTCCCCTTTTTTGACTTTCGACCTTATCGTGGAACCCTCCCCTAACACGAGGAGTGAAAAACTCTACAAAACCAAATCAGGCAGCTATGAATCGCTCTACTCTTAGGTTCTGTTCTTAGGAACGATTGAGTAAAATATGAGTTAGTTCTCATGAAATTCGATAATAAAGCTAGATACATCGAAAAAAGCCACGATGAGCGGTTAATTATCAGTAACGTCTTAGCAGTCACCTGTATAGTTTGTGCGGCTAATTGTCGGAGAGCTCCACGGGACGCGGTCATATTAATGTCTGCTTTTGCTCCTCTCGCGTGCATGAGGAACCCGCGCTGCTTCTCGGTTGCATGGAGTCAAGTGCTGACGTTTTAGTTTTCATAGGAAACTTCCATGAACTTATGCAATGCATGCGTAAGTCCGTCCATCAACAGTTTTTAGCAAATCGATTACACGGGCCCAGCAGGAAGATCAGAAATCGTAGAGTGCACTCTTGAGGATGTTGCTAACTTGGGCGTGGGACAAATTATCGCACAAGATGTGCTCACTAGCTAGCACTACTGCTCACAAAAGCTGCGACCTGTAGCATTGGTCACGTTACCTGCCTGGCAACATGGGAGATAGCAGCAACGGATGCAAATGCCTTTCACGTGGGGGGTGGGTCGTAATTCCGCTTCTCCAGATCGACCAGAAGGAGAGAGCGGTCGTAGAAAAGATTGAGCTAGCAAGATGGCGGAAATCAGCAGTCTATATAACAAGGATGTCTGTAACGTCTAATCTGCACCTATGTCGACGTGACATCTGGGCGTGACAGAAGATGATGATGGCCCTGTCTGGATAGAGAAGGAGAGCAGTCTCATGGGTTTCTATGGCTGGAATAATATAGGACCTAATGATTTGACCCTGACAGAAGTCATGATTCCATGTGTCATTTGTAAAGGAGCTCCTTCTGTGAATGAGGTCAAAAGCTAGCTCTCTCGTCTCTTAATCGTCTGGTCTCTCGTCCGAGCACCATCGCCAGTTCGTGCAAAACTGCCCAAAAATGCCCAAAACCTATTGATGGGAGCTCCCTTTTTTTGGTGTTTAAAGTGACTGCACGACCTCCTCCTACCAAGCGGGCTGCTCAATAGAGGATAATTCTAAATGCATCACCGGCACTGGCCATTGTGAACTGCCATTTGAAACTAATCCTTTCGTTTTTTGCCAAAGTTCCACCCCCACTGAAGCGCATGTAGTGATCATCCTCAATTTCATGCTAGCAAATGGATTTTTTGTTATTCGGGCAGGGCCTATTTCAAAGATTCACGTCCACATCTGCTCAAATCAAATTTCCAATCACAAAAAAGGTTTTAGCCTTAATCTCTTTCTCGAATTCCCCTACTGCTATTAAGAGAGTAATCAGCGTTTACATTTTTTTGCATCTATTCTTAATTTAGTTTAGATGCAATGGTCACGTAAGATTTGAAGGTTAGTAATAAAGGCACATTCCACGATGGCAGAAAAAGGGTAAGAGGGTCCAAGTATGAAACTATAGACGGAGAGGCCTGCTACAGGAGCTTAGTGGAAGGGCCTACTAACCGCAAATAAGGCTTTTAGTAGCATTTGCGTTTGAGCATTTTATGGAATTACAGTAGAGAAGCATTGAGTGCAGGGATGAGAGCAGAAGTCAGAGTAAGGAGAGAAGAAGGGAGCGTTAGGGACGCAGACATCGATATATCCACGCGGCTATATGGGAAAGCTCACCGGCGGCGCGGACGCGCTCGCGTGAAGGTGACGCCACGAGGAAGCGAGCAAAGGACAGCACTGCCAACAGTACTTTAATACAGTAAGAACTTCAGGTATCGTCGTGCTTTTTCACTGTGTAATAAGTAGAAGTAGCTCGAACTCGAAAAGCGAACTTGGTTCCCATCAACTTCAACTTGACTGTCTAGTCCTAAGAGTTTGCAAAACCTTGACTTCTCCCTATTCTGAAACTCCTTCTCATGTGTGAGGACTGGTACCTGTACATAACGCAATCATCTCGCTTGCGGCTGCAAAGGTTGCCGTGATGCCAGAAACCCTGCACAATTGAGCAAAGTGGCAGTTGCGCTGCTACTGCTTGCCCTTTCTTCGAGCCTGCCGCAGTTGCAACGTCATTTTGACGTCACCAGCACGCGCTCGCATACGCGCCGCCGGTGAGCATTTCTCTTCCTCCCATCCACGCACTGTTTTCATGATGGATCTTGTGGGCACTCCCACGTCTACGTTGCTCCCTAGCCCTTTGGACACGTTCAAACGAGGGAGACAGCCCAACTCCGTGCTAAATGCTCACGGGAAGAAAATTGTTCTGCTCAGCTTAATCGTGGAATGTGCCTTTAAGTAGAGGAAATGAGTGACTATGTGGGCATATATCTGTGAAGAGGAGCATAAATAGAGAGAAGAGTATAGATAGATTGCTGTACAGTTCGAGCACGAACAAATCTAAACTCACTATGCGGCCGTTGGCCTCGTAACACTAAAAACAAACGATTGTTAGCGAAAACATTGTGAATCGTGGACGAGTTGTCGCATAGCGGCGGCCTCTGAATAGACGCGCCGAAATGCATCACGTCAGTACCGGCAGCTATACGGTATTAGATGTGTTCACGCCTATGGTAGGGAATCTCGAATATGTGCACTGTGAGAGTAGAAAATGATTCTTTTCTATACTACAACGTTCAGTGAAAACGTGCTGTTAGTTCAGTTCAGTACTGAGAAATCTCTCGCACAGAACGAAGAAGAATCGAGAACGATCACAAAATCAATGACGTGATCGATAATCGATTAGCCAGGTGATCGCTGGTTGCTAGTGAGGCTGTGGGCTCAACCTGGGTGAAGTTGGACGAGGCGGACGTCGTCGACTTGTGCAGGTCCTTGGTCTCAATCTGGTTGAATTGCTGCTTGGATTTGGCGATCCGAGCAATTTGGAGAATCCGAGACAGGCCTGCAGTATTTCGATTCATAACAGTT